ATTTGGAAATCGAAACAGGTCTAGATCTATTGACGATCTATCAATTGTCTATCCATACAAAGAGTGAGGATACCTTGTGTTTAATGGCGTTTGTTTGGTCTGCGCAGTATGGACGAGTCTTACCGCATTGTGTTACACTGACACATTTAACTACTTTCRCAGATGGACTCGCTTGTCTTGTTTGATTGCTCCCTCGTTCTTTGATCTAAATTAAGAATTAAGAAAAACAGTGGAAACTTCGTACATATAAAGAGACGATATCATCATTATCACAGGGYCATAGCAAGGCAGACTCCGGGAGGGGGTAACTCCCTTTGCTCAAGTCGTTGGAGRCTAAGCAAATCTTTTAAAATAATTGACCCTACAAAATACGAAGACAAATTATGTAATTGATCTTAACTCGAGACCCCTAAACGGTTCACACAGAAAATATTTTTAACCCTAAAGGGAACACTGATCACCGGGTAAGGGGGGCACACTCTTCTGGAGGGAACAAGCTAGGAGAACGGCTAACAGGTGAAAAAGCTTGGATAGATTAGATAGCGTTGTAGAGGCAGTATGAAAACTGAGCAGCTTCAAAACTGTATGTATCTTGGGTTTGTGTGACGAGAGAGTAAACAGGATAGTCAAAAATATCGGTTGCCTCGTCCCCTCCCCTTACTACGTCCCCGTTATTATTAATATTAGTCTCAGCATTTTCTCATTGTGAACAACATCCAAAAAATGAAAGAGAATCGAAAACGAAGGAAAAACAAGAGAAAGAAATTAAACAACTAGGAAAATATATCTGCAACCCACATGTACAATTGTAGAATTTTGGCCTTGAGTATTGGATGGCATCCTGGCTCGTGCGCTCTGCGCTCTTGGTGTCACTGTTTTGCCAGTCATCGCAAACGGGCTAGTCTTCTTTGGTGTACAGCTATCACCTTGAAACTTTGGAAAGAGCATRAAGAAAAAATTAAAACGGCAAAGCAAAAAGACGTTGGCTCCCAATAGTCCCTTTCACAGTTCCCTGCGCGATCTTGAAAGGTGGCCGTGCCTTTGCATCGAAGCGAAACGAACGAAACCTTTTTTGAAACCCATTTCAGACCACGTGTGATTTCCACGTGTGGTTTTACAAGAAAAGACACGTGAATATGGATACAACTCAAACAAAAAATCTTATTCTCAAGAGAGAGACATGTAATAAATCTGACATGATTAGTTTTAGGTGGATTAGATCCATTCTATTGATGGCCTACCTTTCCAGCATCAACAACATCAGAGTGTCTTCTTATCTCCTGCGCGTAGATCTCCG